TATAGATTAGGAGATACACTTACAATTAAGTGCAAAAATCTTATATATATATATATATATATAGAGGCGATATTCACACTCCAATGTCATACGATTGCACCCCAATCTTAAAAGAAATGACACCTCTAACCCTAAATTTAAAAATTAATAATTATTTTTCTCAAATAGTACAACTATCATTTTTTAGTTATGATAAGATCTTTTTGTCTCCCCCCATTTTCCCAATCAATGTTTTTGGTATCTTGCGTTATTTTGTTAACCCATTTTTTCTCTTATTTACTGCATTTCTAAAAGTATCTCCAGCAGTTTGTTAAAACACTCTTTTGTGTAAAATATATACTAACACGTATGATGTATAATTTTTTTTTTTTTTCTCCAGCAGTCTATTAAGATACACTGTCACATCACCAATATATAAAATTGTTGTGTATTTAATATAACCTTTTTATACTACCACATCAGCATATTTCATTTTTTCTCCTTCTTTCAACCCTATATTAGCTATGTTTGTAAAAAATATGTGGAGTCTTTAATTATTATTAGGGGATATATTTTTACATAAAAAGGTATAAAAATAATCCAAATTTTTGTGTAAATCTATTATGACGTATCAGATTTACAAATATATATATATACACACACACACACAAAACAATCAGAGATGTTCTAAATCCTTTTTCTATTTTGTATTAACTTTTTTTTTTTTTTCTCTCTCTCTCATTATTTCTGTAAGTAATAATGTTAAATGAAAAAAATAACAAAATTTAACAATGTAAATAAAAAAACATTTAATAACTATTAAAACTTCAGAAACCATTGAACTCCTTTGATGATAACAGTGATGGGAATGGTAATTTGTTTCTTTTATTTTTCTTTTATGTTTTATGCTTTGAGTTTACATTTGGAATTTTTTTTTTTCCCGATGTGATTTTTAAAAATTAATTTAGATGGTGATGGAAATGGTATTTTAAAAAAATAAAAAAAAATTCTTTTCTATTGTATGCTTTAAATTTAGTTTGAATTTTTTTTTTTTTTTTTTTGGGATGTGATTTAAGAGAATAAATTTGGAATTTATTTGAATATTTAAGTTTATCTTGTACTTGTTGATAAATAAAGTTCTAACCTTTTGACAATAAAATTAAAAGACTAGGGATTTTGTGTAAAGAAACAAAAAAAAAAAAAAAATAGTAAAGAAATTAAATAACGTAGGAAGAAAAAGTTTATAGTGAAAAGGGTAGATATGGTATTATAAAATGATAGAAGATTCATTAATGAGATTAAGGATCTTCTTATCATTTCTTTTACACTAGTTTGGTTGGATGGATATAAGTAAGATAAGGAAAAAAAAAAAAAATGGAAAGAAAAGTGAAGTGAAAGAAAAGAAAAATTATTTTCTAACATTCATTTGGTTAGCATGAAAATTTATTCAAAAAAATTGTAAAAAAATATTAGTTTGTTATTTTGGATAGCATGAAAGTGAAAAGAAAGTGATTGAACATACCAAAATTATCCTTATGATTTCAAATGCTAAAAAGTAAATGAATTTGTATTTGAGGATGTCTATTTTTAGCAAAGAAATGGTAAAAACAGCAACAACGGAGATAAAGAAAATGACGGCAATTCTAATTTTTTAGAGAGATTTGATTATATGTTGTTGTTGCCAATTATATATGAATTTGTGGAAAAACAAAGAAATAGTTGTTTTGGAGATAACTTGCCATTTTGAAACCCAATAAGAAAATAAAGAAAGAAGTTTTGCACAATTAAGTTAATGAGTAAAATATATTTAGGAAAAAAAAAAAAAAAAGTTAATGGGTCAAATAAAAAGACACTGTGAACTGGAAAAGTTTTGAGAGAAAATCGACAAGTATGGAAAACAAAAATTTCCATTACGTTTCTTTTTCCATCTATTCAAATTTCGTAAAAAAATTAAAAATTTTATCTTTCATTTCTTTTCTAATTGATTCCACCTAACCAAACGCAGCCTTAAAGAAAAAGACAAAAAAAGAAAAAAACAAAGGAGTATAATTGTACAAAGCCTCCTTATATAAGTTATATATATATACACACACACACACATATATATACATATATGTTGTTTTTTATTTTATTTATTTATGGTAATATATACACCACACGCAAAAATGCCCTCCTAATTGGTGGAAGCCAACTCAAAAATCTTGTATTTCTAAATTTCATTAATGGGGAATTATTTGATTTAAAAAGGATATTTTGGTATTTTGAAATAAGTGTTTGGAAGGTATTTTGGACCTAAATAACAACCTAAACAATAGTTTTTAATGCATATGTAATTATTTTGCTTAACTCAACCAAATTTAAAAATCAACTTTAAAAATAAACTGATTTGTTATTTAAGGTTCCTAATTTTACTTGGTGTAATTTTTCCTTTAAAATTTAAATTTAGATGTGTTTGGTGATGAAAAAAAACATATTTGAAATTGGAGCCTTTTAAAATCATTCTGAATAGGGGTATGTATTTTATTTTATTTTATTTTATTTTTTTGACAATCTAATCCCTCTTAAATTTTTATAATTAAATGTTTATGCAGAATAAAAATATACACGTTCAGTTTGAGACTCAATCACCATTGTTATCATGCCCATTGACCCAACTAAACTAGGTGCAATTTGAGCATTATCTATTAGTCTAGTTGGCAGAGCATCCAACTTTCCAAGCCCTCTCCCTAATTTGTGAGAATAAAAAATATATATATTAAAAAAATAAAAATTGGACGCAGTTTCCAATCCAAAAGACATTGAAATGCGAAAAAGTAAAAATAAAATCAATATTGAATGTTGTATTGTGACTGGTTGAGTATTACCAATGACTTGGTATCAACCCGCAAAATACACCTTCATTGTTCCAAATACCTCATGCATTTTATAAATGGAACAAATAAGGACAATTTGTAAATTTGTCATTAACACATAAATGTCTAAAATGCTCTTATAGCAAAAAGAAGAAAAAAGAAAATCAATAAAACCATGACAATATGCAAGCCTGAGAAAGACACAGAAATTGATGGCCATACTCTCTGAGTCTTCTCTTTTAAAACCCCTATTATTATGACTGCCAAATCAAATCCCACCAATATCGGATAAGTCTCATCCCCGGTAACACTCTGACTTGGCTCTCTCTCTCTCTATATATATATAAATGTGTGTGCGATTATATATACTTTATAATTAGTTGGTGTATTACTGAAAGAAGAAGAGTTTCGAGGATCAAGAGGAGGAGCAAGAAGAGATTGAGCTGCCACCGAGTTTTGAGGATCAAGAGGAGGAGCAACATAATATCCTCCCTTTCAATCCCCGAATGGGAATGCCAAACTACCACAAATCAACCTAATTGGGACACTCAGATTAAGTAATAACCTAAAAGTGACAAGCAATCCTAGTAAGGGTAGTAAAATTTCTACGACCCCAAAATCACCACCTCGCAGAGAGCAATTCCTTCCTCAAACAAGGAAGACTAAGATGTATTGCTAAATACAAGGGCTGATTTGAACCTTTTTCGCTAATAAGAGTTGCCATTGCACCCTCATGACTTACTTATAACAAGTACTGATTTTCTATAGGAATTCTGGGAGAATTCTTGAAATTTCTACATATAGAGAACCATAAATATGTTCATCTACTCACCATACCTGTCTTTCCATCCTGTCACCGTTTTCCAGCATCTCCTTGTTCTACCACTATTAACAAACTATATCCATTGTGGTAAAGATTGAACTCGACAACTATTCAAATTACGACCTACAAAATGTTGCTAGCGAAATTACCCTTATAATTTTTCCACAGAGCACTCAACTACAAAACTGAAGAAACGCTGAGAAATAAACTGCAGTGGATTGCAAAATAAAATTACATGTGTCTGTTCAAAACTAAAAATCATATATACTCAAGGAAATAAAGACAGACCAGACCAGCTCAAGCAATTAGGAGACAAATAACCAGAGTCATATCCTCTATTTGGGAATTTTCATACAGTGGCTAGACCCAGGTCACTGGGATCACAATGAAACTTAGACTCATACCACTCTAGAGGTGTAGGCACAACCTATGTGCATGCATTAACCGACCTCATGATATCCATTCCTCTTCTTCATTCATCATGCCATATCCACCAACCAACACCACCATTAAATTTGGTGGAAGCGAAATGAATGAATGAGCTTGGAGGGACTATGCTTTCTAGACGAATAACAATCTTTATTAAAAAAAAAGAAAAAAAAAAAGAAGAAAAGATCATCTGACAAGACCATTAAAGATACGCAAAAGCTAGACATTTCATGGTGATGAAAATCTATTCAGCACCAAACATATCATCTGACAAGACCATTAAGATACGCAAAAGCTTGACATTTCATGGTGAAGAAAATTTATTCAGCACCAAACGTGAAAACACCATATATGCATTACTTTATGCTATTACATTTCTCTTTCGGAAATTTATGCTATTACATTTTGCAAAAAGGGCATAATTTTCAAGGGCAAAGGTAAATAAGGGATCTACCTCAATCATTTAGGAGTCCACACCCCCTACTCACACCACCACCACCGTCACTAGCAAAAACATTTCTCTTTTCCTCCAGAAAAAAAAAAAAAAATTTCACTATGGTAAAGGCTCAAGTAGATTGATTTTGACCCTTTATAGTTTCCTATATGAAGATAGAGTGCGATTTTACTCCACAAAGGGGATACTGATAGAGGCATAATTTTCAAGGGCAAAGGTAAATAAGGGATCTACCTCAATCATTTAGGAGTCCACACCCACTACTCACAACACCACCACCGTCACTAGCAAAACATTTCTCTTTTCCTCCAGAGAAGAAAAAAAAAAAAAAAAAAAGGAGAGAGAGAGAGAGAGAATTTCACTATGGTAAAGGCTCAAGTAGATTTTGACTCTTTATAGTCTCCTGTATGAAGACAGAGTGCGATTTTACTCCACAAAGGGGATACTGATAGCCGATTAAATATGACAATAATAGAACACTTCCAACAATTAATCAGTCAGAAGATAAATGAATGCATTTCAAGTATTTACCAATTTTCATACGAATCACATTTGAACTGCCTCGAGGACGATACTAACATTCGGGATGCAGTTTTCATTCTGATTTAATTTTCAATAATTAATTAATATATAAAACTACTAATATTTCCATTTGATACACCACATTTGCACTACTCTTTCTACATTTACCTTGTGGAAGAGATCACATGAGTACCTATGAGGACTTAATGCCTACACTTCCTACAGTAGTGTTCTGTCATATATTCTCCACAGTTGTAACAGAAAGTGTGTCCGCATCTGCAATCATACACAAGAGGAAAACATAAATAAATATGGTAAAAGATAATATAAACAAAGAAATTAAACCAAGTATATCAACAGTTAGTCCTTGCATAAAGAGTTGTGATAAATGCTTGCCAAAAGGATCAATTAGATAATAATGTTCTGTTTGGCAGGAGGATAGAGTGGAAGGAAAGGAGGGGAAGAGAGCAAAGGATGGAGTTTTTCTGGTTGGTAAAAAAGAAAGAGGAGGGGGCATTTTCCGCCAGAGACTGTATTCATTCTTCCCAAAGTGGAAGAAAACAGAGGGGAAAGGCTCCCCTCCACATTTTATTCTCTTACATTTTTCTAGAATAAAAAAGGAGGAAATTCCATTGATATGAAATCTTATAATGGTCAAATCTTAAACTATCCTTCCTTACCACTCATCTCCTTTCATCCTTCCTACATCCCCTTCTTACTTCATAATTTTCCTCACATACAAATTGAAGCATTAGGTCTTTATAGGGTTGTAAGCTTAAAGTAATATCAAAGTGGTGTCACACAGAAACTAGGAAGATATGAAATTAATGTACATTTGAGAAAGCTAAAAAACAACATCAGGATTTAGAACAAGATTATACTCCATCAAGTTTCAAAATTTTGACTGAAATCATCAGAACACTCAAGTAAGTAGCACCAAATACACCACCAAAAGTTGTAAACGTGATATCCTAATGGTCAGAAACCACATTGTGCAAGCTAGCAGAGCTCATCAACAACATATGTCGATTTGATGAGCAAAAACTGATTCAAAAAACTGGTGCAACCCCATCACAGGTAGGTTGCCACAACATGAAAGGTAATTAAACACGGAGGAATGACTTCATGTTTAAAGTTTACTAAAGGGCTAGCCAGTGCACGAGGGAGGGGTTGATGTACGCACCCTTACCTCCACCGTATGTGGAGAGGTGGTTTGAATTTACTGATAAGACTCAAAACACATATACAGAAGGCATATATAGAATGGAAAAACAGAAGATAGATTAACCAACCTGCATCGCATAAACAAACAGCCTGCAGATTTCTCGACATAGAATCTGCACTTGGGACACCTAATCCACTTCTGGTTCTTAGCAAGCTGCAACAGCATAATATCCTCCTTCTCTCTCTCATCCTTGTTCAATTTCTGAAACTCCGCACACTCAATCCCCAAATGCCAAGCCACATTACACTGGGCACAAAACAACCTGTAGCAATTGGGACACTCCGATTGTCTAATAACCTCTCCATTTAATGGGTCATTGATCAAAAGCGCCGAGCAATCCTTATAAGGGCAGTAAAATTTCTCAGACCCTAGAATCACCGCCTCACAGAGAGCACTCCCCCACCAATCAAACACCTCCGGGGGCAAAATGGATCGGCAATGCTCGGGCTCCAAAAGCCCTTTACAGTCCGAAACAGGGCATCGAATCTGCGTGATGTTGTCTTGTAGCTTTGAAGCCACATATTTGATCATACAATCGGAACAATAAGAATGTGTACAACCCATTATGCTAAATGATTCATTGTATGACTTTGGCTCAACACAGATTTCACATATAAAGGTTGGAGTATGAAGATCATCAGACGAAGACTTGGAATTAGAAGACTCCCCTTTTTCGGCGATCGTAAAGGGCCTTTTTCTTGTCTTCCGGGAGGGCGTCCATGAAGCTATAACTTTAACATCATCGTCGTCAATTGGGTATTCGTGAGTGAGGTCTATGACCCTTCTTTTAGACCTATTAGGTTTTGGGAAGCCGATAGAGGCCATGATTGCGCGCTGGAGGTTTGTGTCCTCGGAGTACTGTTCGACTGAGATAACATTCTTGGCTTTGTGATAATATAGCACTGCTATTTCATCGTCGTCGTCGTCGTCAGGGATGATCTCTATATCTGTAGAAGACATACCCTTTGTTTGCGGTGTCGCGATGACCATAGTTGGTTTGCTTTCTTTATGGTGGCTCTCTGGCTCTGCTTGTGGTGATCTTACACTGAGTAGGCTCGTTCTCGGCTTCTGTGTCGTGCCATCACTGTTGCGATCGGTTTTCAAAACACTACTTGGCCTTTTCACCTCCATCTACCCTGATTTGTTTTTTTTTTTTTTCCTCTCTCCCTATCGAATTCCTAAAGAAAGTGGAGAACAGCTTTTTGTTAGACGTGTTGTAAATTTTGGGAATCTACTATACTCACCAGAAAGGGAAAAAACCTTGGGCCTACTGGTATTGTAACACGGGTAATTTGTTCTGCATTATAATGGAATGGAAAAATAATTATGTATAAATAGATGAGTATGTAGTAATATTCAATAGTTTGAATTTTTGAATAAATGGATAAGTGCTCATCCGCTACAGTAAATATCATAGACACCCAATTCTTGATTCGGTGTCACGCTAAGAACCTGGTCAGAAAGGCGTCTCAGTTAGCACCCCGGATAGGCAGGATGACCCGAGCCACAACGAGGGCGTTCTGAGTTTGGATGGGAGAGAATGTAACAAGGGTCATTTGTCTTACATAGAAATCGGATGAGAAAGTGATTGGATATAAATGGGTGGTTATGCAGCACTTCCTAATAGTTCAAGCTTTTGAGTTAATGGGCAAGCGTCCACCCGTTACATATGTCCACGAGGGTCATTCATATTACAGGAAAATAAATAAATAAATTTTGTAAGATGGAAATCAATGAAATTTACCATAAAATAGATGGTATTATTGTAAATTTATAAAACTTTTTCAATAAGTAGAAAAAAATTAAGCCTTCTCCAAAATTTGGGCTAATTGCAAAAAAAACTGAGATTGCCATTTTGTTGCAAAGATCTCCTTGTGTCAGATTTTAATATAAATTTACTTATTTTCATATTTCAGGAAAATAAATAATAATAATAAATAAATAAATTTTGTAAGATGGAAATCAATGAAATTTACCATAAAATATATGGTATTATTGTAAATTTATAAAACTTTTCCAATAAGTAGAAAAAAATTAAGCCTTCTCCAAAATTTGGGCTAATTGCAAAAAAAAACTGAGATTGCCATTTTGTTGCAAAGATCTCCTTGTGTCAGATTTTAATATAAATTTACTTATTTTCATATTTCAGGAAAATAAATAATAATAATAAATAAATAAATTTTGTAAGATGGAAATCAATGAAATTTACCATAAAATATATGGTATTATTGTAAATTTATAAAACTTTTCCAATAAGTATAAAAAATTTAAGCCTTCTCCAAAATTTGGGCTAATTGCAAAAAACAAACACTGAGATTGCCATTTTGTTGCAAAGATCTCCTTGTGTCAGTTTTTAATATAAATTTACTTATCTACTCTATTATTTATAAAATATTTGACTATATTAAATTACCAAATTGCCCATATTAAAAAAATTACTGTACCTTTTTTTTCTCTTCTCTCTCTCTACCAACGCCGGAACCCAAACCCCCACCACCATCACCGGCCACAATCCCCATCACAGCCACGCCACCACCGCCACACCGGCAGCCGTCATAGAGAGAGAGTGGGTTAGAGGGTTATAGGATGGCTGAATTTGGTGACAGCGGGCACCGGTGATGGATCTCCATTCGCCTCGCCGTCGACTCCGGCACCGATCCGACCGTCATTCAACGTGCCCCATATTTCACAATAAACAATTTTCAGATCTGAAAATTTCTCAAGGCATATAGGAAAAGATTTGAATGAGGCGAAAGAAGGAAACAATTGATCTGAAACAGACAAAAGAAGGAAACAATTGTTTTCCCAATTTAAACCATTGAAATTGCAATGGAGTTGGAAAGAAGTAAGCCATTGAATATAATTGATCAAACTTTGAGGTTCTGGTTTGTTAAAGGTAACAGATTATAAAATGCCTAAAATCTACGACATCCCACTCATAAATCACCTCTAAGAAATAAAATGTTGACAAGAGCATTTCAACAATAACAATATATCTATAATAAAATAGATTTACCATTCAAAAAAATTAAAATATATTTATTTTAATTTTTCCACAATTAATATAAATTGCAAAATATGATCAAATTTAATATATTTTAATACTAAAATCATGAAATTTAGTTAATTTCAACTACACTCGATTTATGAAAATAAATTCTCATAGAAATATATTTGCAACTCCAATTTTCTACAAACGAAACCTTATTCATTTAATTGCTTTATGGGATTATAAAAATTATATATCTATATTTCATATGAAAATTATATGCAATGTTGTTAAAAAAAATTACAATAGTAGATAGAAGGAAAAAAATATTGGACGAGTTTTTTTTTTTTTCAAGCTTGCTTGCATGAGTTTCTTATCTATTGGGATTGCATTGTTTTGACTGGGGTTGTCTTTTTTTCTGTTTGGGAAATTGTCATGGTGTTGGTGGTGGTGATGGGTGAGTGGAGAGAGAAAATGAGAGAGGGGCAATTTTGTCCCTTAAAATAATTTCTTTTGGTAATTTGATGACATAATTATTGTAATGGGTCTTTTTTTTATCTAATTAAAGAGGATTTTGGTCATTTCAACAAAATCTTCTGACACAAGGTATTAATTTTTGTAAGGGGAGGTCTTTGCAAAATTGGTTAAACCTTATGGGGGTGTCTTTGTAACAAAATGACAAACTTTAAGTTTATTTGAAATTAGGTCAAATTTTAGAAGAGATCATTATAATTTATTAAGTGATTATGAAAAAGAAGAATGCTAAGTCCAGTCCCAGGCATAAGTCCATGCATAGTAGGGGTGTGCAAAAAAAATCGTTAACCCAAAAAATCAAATCGGACTGGACCGAATTAGGTTGTTTGTGTCGGTTTCATAGCGGTTCGGTCCAGTCACGGTTCTAAAATAATAAAACCGTGAATTTTTTATTCGATCCTAGATTAGGGTTCTATAAGACTGGACCGGCCCAGACCGAACCGTTATAATATGTATTTATATATTTTATATTATATATATACCTATATACTACTCTTAACTTTGAAAGGATTTCGGCACAATGATCAAACGTGAGCCAACATTCATCACCATCTGATATTTATTTATTTGTTTTTGCTTCTCCTAATGTTTTGATTTTTGGGTGCGTGCGCCGCCTCATTTACTTCTTAGATCTCATTACTGCGGGATCCAGTTGTTGATTAATCTCTCTCACGTAACCTTCGAAGTTCAGTCATCGCCGTCGATCTTTTACCGTAGCCATCGGTGACATCCTTTTTCACACTCTCTCCCCTTCTCTCTCACTTTCAGTTCACAGATCTCTGAGACTTACGGCGTGTTTGCGCCTCAAGTACAACCAACAATGACAACAAATCAAGTTTCTTAATTTTCAACCACGGATTTGTCATCCTTTTCAGTTTCAGCAAGATTCAACCTTATTTTAATTTATAGGGTTTACCTTTTGGATCTATTTCACCTTATTTTTATTTTTGTTGTATGTACAATTCAAGGAAAAAAAAAAATAGGGAAATAAAATTCAACTAGAGCCGTGGAACAGAACCAAACCAAACCATTCTTTCATGGTTTGGGCTGGTTCGGTTTCAGATTTTCTGGAACCGTAAGAAGCGGTTTGGTTCCAAAAATTCTTAAAATCGGACCAAACCAGACCGTGTGCACCCATACTTTTAAATTTTTTTTTTTGTCTTATTTACTTTTTTTACTTATTTTTTTAGCAAAAGAAAATTTATTCAATGGAAATTATGAATTTGATTACAGAATATTTACTAAACATTGCAAAATTTTTTCTAAATTTACAATAGTACCTTGTAGATATTTTAAGATGAATCAAAAATAAAATAAAATAAATAAAATTCATAATTACGAGTACAACTACATATAAGTTCAACTCTTATATGTTTACTAAAATTAAATATTATATATACTATTATTATATTTTTATATTATATTTTTTAGAGTGTATATAAATATGTAAGATGGACATTTGATCAAATAATTAGATCGACAAAAATAAATTTCTCATTTTGTTTGGTTGATGAGGATACAATAAGTGATATGGGCCGGTTATAGTCCGCAGACGTGGCATCGGGGTAAATAATTGAAATACAGCCCATACAAGAGCACCACAGAATGGGCCGAGCTCGGAGGATCCACAGAAGAAGACTAAGCCCATTGAAAAGAAAGCCCAAAACTGATAGTCCAGCAGCATTTGTAATTGCCTATAAAAGGGCAGTGAAGAGAGTAAAAGGGGGGGGGGGGGGGAGATTTATTTTTAATTGAAAATGTAATGAGACTCTGTCAAAATAGAGAGAAAAAATTCTTTGCATCTTCAATTGGCGCCGTTTGTGGGAAACGTTGGAGGTTGATTATTGTTTGATCAACGTCATGCTGATTCAGACTGATTGGTGACGACGAAACTTGATTTCTAGAAGTTTAATCTAGATCCAAGAGATTGCGGTTTGCTCCTGAGAAGTTCTTGATTCTTGATTGATTTTGAGAAATTGGCGTTAGGTTTACGCACCTGTGATTCACTCTATCGCGGCTCGATCCAGCAAGCTCAGACACCGGAGAAGCTCTGATTTATCGAAGGGAGAACATAACTCGTAAAATTTGAGTCCAGATCTGACGTGATTCGCGTCAGTGAGACTCAGATCTAACTTAGAATTTGTGATTCATGCTTTTACTCCGTTCTGGAATGATGACTGGGGGTGAGAACTCTAATACGGTAGAGAATGTCCAGCAGATGAAACTTGATGAGTTGACGAGCATGATCGAAGCTCTCAGGAGAGAGAATGCAGATCTAAGGACTGAAATGCAGCGTCAAGAAGTTCCGGTGATTCCGTGACCACTCCCGGCAGGAGAAGAAGTTGTATGTACCGATGCGGCACATCATGGTGAGGAGGTAGGGAACAATCAAACAGATCTTCACCGCGAGGAGGTCCGGCCAAACCATTTGCCGCCAAATCCTCGTCGTGTTGATGATCGTGAAGGATCAACTCACGTGGATCCACAGCGTGAACAAATCAGGCGAAACGAAGCCATAACTTTCGATCCACATCAAGAAACGCTCAGCCGAGGAGAAGCAATGGAGTTTGATCGCCACAAAGCTATACCGCCGTGGCACAAAGAGTTTATTGAGGAAAGATCATTCGATTCGACTTATTGGCCTTCCATGGCGACGCTAGACTATCGCAGCTCAGAAAGGAGATTTGTAGATCAGAGAGCAATCACGGGGTTCCAGAGGGAAAATGAAGCCCTCCGTTTAGCAGCTCGAACGGTTGATTCGCCGTTCA